CTTAAAAATGACACTGTTGTTTTACTGAACTATTTCTCCTATTCATTTTAACAAGGATTAATTTCATTTAATTTGTTTTCTTTCATTGGAAACTGCTATCAGGTTATGGAGGATGTGCTTTCACGGAAACAAGTCAGAAGAGAGAGCAACCAGGTCGGAAAGGTTGGAGATAGAACCTTGTGCATAGAAAGTGCGCCAGACCCAGAGGGTACTGCAAGTGCTTGTAGCGTGATTCAAGTTGTGTCGGTAAGTCCATCACAATCACTTGCTCCCTTCAACTATTGTTGAACATTCAAGAGGAACAAATAGATATTGTTCTTTCAATTTTTCTCTCTGGAAATATTTTAAAATAACTTTCATTTTGTTCTTTTACATGTACAGAATGTGGATGCTGCTTGTCAGACTGATCCAGTGAAAATTCTTTGTTGTGATATACGTTAGTATCAAAATGCATTTGAAATGCCTATTTTTGTTATCATATTAATTTATAAATGGCATTTTTTCTTCTTATTCTGTTTTCTTGTTCTCGTCATAGTTCATGATAAACAAGAAATTTATACAATTTTTTCTGATAGATACCGATGCCGCAATACAAGCTGTTCCCGAAGTCAGCGAAACTGGAATACAATTCAAGCTGCTTAACGATGCAGAGGTCGAGGAGGTACAAGACAATGAAGTTGAAGAATTAGAAGAGGAAGAGTTAGAAAAGGGACAAGAGCGTGATGATTCCTCCGACTATGAACCATCCTCATCATCATCTTCGTCATCATCTTCAGAACCTGGTCGCACCCGGTCATTTCAAAAAGTAAGTACGATAGATGCAGTACATTAAACGAGAACTTATTTTATAAGGTTACAACAGAAACAAAGCGAAATGTTTTTTAAATTTAAAATTAACCTTCTCTCATCGTAGAGTAGAAACTACTTTTCATTCCTACACTCACAGTGGTATCACCTTGGTTTACCCAAATGCCATTGATCTTTTGTTAAAAGAAGGGGGAGAAGTCCACGGACCGTTCCAACATCACCGGATGTTCTTCCTCAAGATCATCCAAAGTACACTGTGTTCGAGGGGGAGCTCTTCAAACTTTTCAGGAAGTGTTTCAAGTGCGGTTCACGGAAGATCAGTCTGATCAAACGAACTGTGGGGACTTTCGTTTCTGTTTTTCAGCGATGAGGGGCATGCAAGTCCAAGGGGACGACCTGGAGTTCCCAGCCATGGCTGGGTGCAACACCTGCAGGAAATCTGCTTCTCTCTGCAGCTGTCCTGTTTGCTGGTGCCAGCCCATCAAAGGTTCTCCGTATGTTGACCAGTATGGGGGCAGCTTGTATTTCGCTGCGCACTTTTTTTCTCCCACCAGAAGAGACACCTCTTACCATTAGTTGAAGCGGTGTGGACACAACACATCACCGAAGTGAAGCTTCGTCTGAAAGCTGATAATCAAGCGCTAGTCATCGGCGGGGATGGACGGGCAGATAATCCAGGCCACTCCACTAAATATGGGAGCTACACTGCAATAGAACTCAACGCCAACAAGATTGTTGATATTCAGCTTGTACAGGGAAGTCTTTGTTTCTAAAGAAAGGTAGAGTTGATGTAAATGCGATGGTTTTCGATAAATGGTTCTCGACAATTTGTACAAGCAAAAGGATGCATTCATTTCATTAACTTTATTCTGTATACACAGTCAATTTGAAAGTTGCTTATTTCAATTTGCTGCTGCCGCTAGGCCTTGATTGATAGCCTCAGATTGACTGTTACTAACGTTTAGTACATGTATTTGTTGTATATTCATTTGTTAGTGCAATGAAGTCAAGAGTAGCTACCACATGGAGCTGGAGGGCTTCAAAAGGACAATGGCAACCCTACGTGAAGCTGACATCACGTCTGCAAGCTCGTCACTGACCGTCATCGGTCTTTGGCCAAATATGTGCGGGGACATGAGCCAACAATTCTGCACGTGTATGACGTCTGGCATATAGCAAAAGGTACCGGTAGTTGAAGATAAAGATTTAAAGTTCTATCCCAAAATCAATATTTGTTTTTATGACCTTCAGAACCATTTGTCGAGACTACAGAATTTCAACTGAGTTCTTGAGAAACACATAGGAAAATAGTTATGGCAAGAAATAGATAAGTTATCAAAGAGGAAAGGGTTTGAGGGTGTGGCCGAATGGAAGAGGTCCATAAACAATCATGTCTGTTGGTGTGCCTCTTCCACCACTGATGCAGAGGAGGATCTCCGGGAGGCCAAGTTGGCCTCTTTATGTAACCACATCGTTGGAGTACACCGAGGGCACTCTGCTTTATATACTAAGTGTGAGCATGGCCGACTTGGGAGGCGAAAGAAGAAATGGTTGAAGCCAGGTATTAAAAAAGAATTTACTTTCAGGCTTTCCCTTATGGTTCTTTAATATAGGAGTCATGACGATTAATTGAAACCAAATGATATTAACAAATCAGGTTCGTGGCTTTATAGGGACAGAGGAAACTACCCAGCTGTACCAAATCCTGGAGAGTACTCCATTGCGGAAAGACATTCGGAAAATGTCTTCCGCAGCGCAGACGTCCTCTCTGGAGAGCTTCCACAGCCTCATAAACCAATTTGCTCCCAAGATGAAGGCCTACTCATATGATGGTATGACTTGCAGGTGAGTAGAATTAAGGTGTTACTTCGGTTTTGAAATTGACTCTTATCTTATTTACTTAGTCTGAATGTTTTTGAGCATTCTGCCTCTCCTGGAAATTTATCCAGCTGGACCAATCTTTTGCCATCCCTTTAATTACTTTCAATATGGCCATTCCACATTTACTTCTATAAATTTTCCTT